CAATCTGTGGAGTCTGTTGGGACGGGGCATCAAAAGGTCATATGTTAAAAGCTGGAAAGGACCTCAAAGGCCCTCTAGCCCAACCTCTTTATTTCACAGATGAGGAAACTGAGGCCCAGCAAAGCAAAGTGATTTGTCTAAGATCACTTAGGTAGTAAGTGTCAGAGACAAGTTTCAAACCCAGATCCTCTAACTCCTAGGTTAAGTCTCGCCTCTGACACATACTGACTATGTGAGACAGGTAAACACTCTACCTCTCAGTATGCATAGGTTGCCAATCTGGCTCACTGAAACGAGTGCCCATATCTATGAGTTCATAGACCCAGAATGTTGGGTCTTTTGTTAAATATTCTTTAGCTTCACAGATATAAAACATGAACCTGACCCCAAGCTTCCAGACCCAGGCATGTTTTAATAAGGGACCATTCCATGCATTCAGCAGCAGCCTGGCCCTCTAAGGCTCCAAGAGCTGGCCTCCATCTTGATGGAATCCCCATCCCCCAAAGCTCGATGTAATCATGGCTTGATGACATTTCCTTTTCAAATGCAATCCCAAGATGGCACTTTATCAGTCCAGAGCCCAGAATTAGCCATGAAAAACAGAATTCAATCAGTTCCTACACGGGGAAATCTAGGTCCTCATCAACTGTCAGTGTAGAGAAAAAAGCAAATCTCTACCGACCCACAGCCTTAGCTAGTAAGAACCCCTTACTATAAATGGATGATCAAACAGTAGAAAGTGACCGATTCAGAATCATGGGTGTGGGTTCAAATCCTGAGTCTGTAGCTTACTGCCCAGCTGATGTTGGGCAAGTCACCCTTGGTCCCAGTTTCTTCATCTATAAAAAGAAAGGTCTGGACTAGATCACATCTTTGGTCCTTTCTGGCTCTCGATCTACAATCCTTTGGTTCCCTTCCCCAGCAAACTTCACAAATTTGGATTGTTGTACTTACCATTATGCGCAACCTAGATAATCCTCCCCACCAAAGCCCTTCAGCTTAGGCCCCAAGGGGTGCTTCATTTGCTGCTGCTAATGAAGAGTTTGGGGAGCATCCCAGCTAGTCCTGCTGCCCAGGAATAGAAATGACCCATGCTGCTCCTGAAATTCTTAGGGACGTAGATTCCTCCAAAGGCTGAGCTGACAGATATGAGGTGTTGGGCTAGCCTTGCCAGCTTAAACACCGTTAGTAAAGCCCCGTACCCCACTTTCCTGGCACTAGAAGGAAGCACCCGAGCCAGAGCTCCTGAGAAAGAGAAATATTGAGTCATCCTGCCCCTCTGACATCGACATCAGCTTATTATTATTATTCCATGCCTGTCCACCTTAATCCAAACCTCCTCCTCGAAAGCCATTCCAAACCAATTCCTCCCCAGGGCAGCCAATTACACTGTTTCGGGGAGCAATTCAGATGTGATACCTAACCAGTACAAGCAATCTGAGAGCACCCTACATAAAAGATGGGGCTTCATTCAGCCAGCATTCAAACTGTCATTGATCCAGCTTTTGTGGGTTTCTTCAGGTCCCACAGAACTCAAGCAGAGAGAGGCCTTAGAAATCATCAAGTCCAACGGTCTCATTTTACCAAAAAGGAAACTGAGGAAGCCCAGAAAATTGAAGCGGTTTCTCCAAGGACCCACAAATAAATGAGAGCACCAGACGTGGGATTTGAAACAGGTCTTCTGGCCCCAGAGTCAATGCTTTTCCCATGGCACCACCCTGTCTAACTGCCCAAGATAACTGCTCATCTTGGTCTTGGCATTTACAATTCATGGTGCTCACGTAAGGTCACTGGAGGGAGTAGCTTTGGAACATTTTCCGGATGAGGAAACTGAGGTTAAGTAACATGGTCAAAGTCACATGTTAATTAAGTGGTAAAGATGTCACTAAGCCCCAGACTTGAACCCTTCATTGGAATCCCTCTACACTTATACCTTAGGAGCCCCATGAGGGACACTGCCTACATGGTACCAGCCCATGTTGGCCAATAATATTCGTTGGTTTTAGTCTCAAGATCACTCACTACTCCTGGTCACAAGAGACCTACATCCCTCTACTACATATGCCGGGGGTGTTAAGCTCTTGAGTCAAGGGCAAAAAAAAAAAAAAAAAAAAAGACAAGAATCCATACAGGATCCAGGCTGAGCAGGTGGAAAGGCTGGGGAATTAATGTCATGCTTCCAGAGGATCTGTGTTAGTGATGGATTATGACCTTCTGAGTCCCTCACCTCCACCCTCTGCACAAAGACCCTTGCAGCCTTCCCTCATAGCTCATAAAGCAAAAATAAAACAAAACAAAACACCTAAGGTACCTACTGGCTTTTGAAAAATACATTGCATCATTCATAATGGAAAACAGGCTTTTTCTGTTATACTTACATAGTTTGTGGAGTTTTTTTTTTACCATTTCAATTTAAAATTTGAAATTGAAATATAAAATAAGCTATTAACACTGCTTTCTTTTTATTTTAAAAACAACAAAGACTTGCAAAGTCTTAAGAGAAAAATTGGATTCAGAAAATGTGAAGGTTCAATCATGTATAATGAGCGAAACCGTGACAAAGATGAAAATCAAAGGATTGTGGGAAAAACTGACTGTCATTACATGAAGCAATGCATCTCACTAATGAAACAGACCTTTTTGAAATAATGCAAGAATAAAAGTCTCACAGATGAACTCAAACAATACAACAAAAAGATCCAGAGAGGAGAGAAAAAGAGAAGGAAACTCCAATATATAAAATATGATTTCATTTGGCTACATAAAAAACTTAGTATATAAAGTCAAAACACATCAGAGCCAATTTATTTACCCCCGATTGAGGGCTGACATGCACACAAAGTTCCAGAGGATCATTATTTAAATACAGCGCTACAGAGGAAAGAGGGCTGGGTGGAGAATCTGAGGACCGTGATTAAATTCCCACCTCTGCCCTTCCTAGCTATGGCACTCACAAGCAGCATCAGGACCCTGGGCCAGTTTCCACAACCGTAAAATGGGCACGTCTTTAGGAGTTCTTAAACTGGAGTCCACAAACTTCTCTCTAAAAACATTTTGATTACTGCACTTCAATATAATCAGTTTCCTTCATAATACAATGGGTTTTATTTGATGAATTTCAAAGATATGATTCTGAGAAGGAGTCTATAGGCTAATTCCCCAGACGGCTGCCCAAGGGTAGTCCAGGATACACAGAAAACAAACCGTTGGACTAGGTGATCTCTTGGGACCCTCCCTCCAAGCTCTCAATGTATAATCATATTCATATTTTCTATGTAAATCACCAACACAGAAGACCTTTTATAGGCTATAAATAGGCATTCCCTTCTGGTCCTGGAGTTTGCTAACAAACTCCCATATTACCTAGGCAATCATTTGTAAACCATCACACTTGGCACAATTTGTGTAAACTTTGTGTCAATGACAATCTCAATGGACAAAGGAGACACGGAAGGAAAGTCTTTGTTGTTCTTAAAATAAGAAGAAAGCAGTGTTAATAGCTTATTTTATATTTCAATTTCAAATTATAAATTGAAATGGTAAAAAAAAAAACACCCTGTGAGTATAATAGAAAAAGCCTGTTTTCCATTACAAATGATGAAATATATTTTTCAAAAGTCAGTAGATACCATAGGTGTTTTGTTTTGTTTTTACTTTATAAGGAAAAGTCGTGTGGTGGTATGGTGGGGGGAGCGTAAGAACCAACATTGAAGCAGCCAGTGTGGGGGCAAGCTCCAGTATGGTGCCACCAGTCTGAGCCATACCATGCAAAGTCAAAGGGAGGAAAGGATGAGTGGGTGCCTAATAAGATCCAGCCTATATACCAACAGCAAGGGTCATAGCTGGTATTTACATAGCACTGTGGGGATTTGCAAAGCGCTTTACAAATATTTTCTCATTTTATCTGTCATAACAACCCTGGGACATAGCTGCTATTATTTTGTGGGAGGTAGCTGCTATTATTTTATCTGTCTCACAGATGAGGAAATTGAGACAATCAGAGGTTAAGTGACTTGCCCAGGGTCATACAGTCAGGCTCTGAGACTGGATTTGAACTCAGGTTTTCCTTAGACTCATTAATATCATGACATCCACTAGCCTTGGGGGTTGAGGAGTCCCCTGGGTAGTGCCTAATGGGTAATTACTGGGACCTTGAACTCCTTAAACAGGAGTTTAAGAAACAGCCAGGATGTAAGAAAGAGACATACCAACAACTATTCTGTGAGCTGTGGGCCCGCTGGACCTTATAACATCCATCAATCCCCAGGAGTGAATATTTTTTAAATTGAAGTTTGATTATTTTCAAATGTACATCATGTTCCTCTGGAAATTAAGGAAAGGAAAGATTCGAGGGCTTGGTTCTGATCCACTCCTGAAGCAAAGCAGTATGGAGCAAACCTCTCTGCTCCCCCCTACCCACCCAAGCATGGAGGGAATAGAAGCATGTGCGTTTGGCAAGGAAGGACATCCGGCTCACGTCTGGAGAAATGAGAAAGCACTGAGATCCAGCTAAGGCAGACCATAAAACAACTGGGTGGCTCTCCCATAAGCACCAAGAACCCAGGGAATTTTAACTCCGACTTGATTGGGTTAGATCACATCAATGTAAGATGCCCAAATCTCCTTTCCATCCTTTCTACGTTATTCGTGTCAAAGCCCGGGATTTATTTCGCAGCCACAAGTGTTGTCCCCAGGTTCTGCGATGGTGAAGTCATAAATTCACCAGGGTTTGATTGCTGGGTAATAAAAGTCCAAGTTCAGTGGAAAACAAAATGATGAAAACCATCGGGTAGGACTGTGAAGACAAACAAGAAACTCAAGGTAAGCGCGCACATTTCCCCTTCGAGAACTTCAGAGAAAGAAATTTGAGTTCTCCATCTGCTTGACAAGAGCGTCCCGTCACTCCCCCACTGGAGGTTCCTCACCGGCTCACTGATGCTGCTCAGGGCCACCACCCTGTTAAGGCTCTCCACCCAAAGACAATCCCATAAGGGCCTCACCTTTTTCTGCAGGACGTTGATTTTCCTTTCCTTCACTTCCAGCATGTCCTTCATATCCCGGATCTCTCCGGCCAACGTCCCTTTCTCTTCTGTGAGGTCCTGTAGCTGTTTGGTCTTTTTGTTGAGGAAAGATTCTTTCTCTTCCAGTCGTAATCTCAGGGCATCAACCTAAAAACAGAGGATTGAAAAAGGGATGGTGACAATTTTAATAAAAATAACCTTGAATTTATCCCAATTTATCAATCGTGAATTTGGACATATGGACAACTTGAGATCAGCAGAGGTCAATTACTAGTTTATAGAAAGAAATTAAATAAAGAGAATGATTGAACTTTAAACGAGCCAAATTCTAACATGAAGAGATAATGATAATAATTATTATTATTATTATTTTATACAGCTATTACTATGTGCCAAGCGCCGTGCTAAACACTTTACAAATATTATCTTCTTTGACGCTCACAACAATTCTGTGAGGTAAATGCTAGTTATTTTCCCCATTTTCCAGATGAGGAAACTGAGGCAATCAGGGGTTAAGTGCCATGATTTGAAATTGGGTCTTCCTAACTCCAGGTCCAACGCTCCACCCAATGAACCACCTAGCTGAGAGAACAATGGCTGGTTAGTCCCTAGAAGGGACCCTCTTCGAGCAATAACACCATCATCAGTACATCCTCGCTCAGGAGTACCTAAACCCAACTTCTTTTCATGATCACTCATGTTAAGATAAAATCATTTGCTCTCATTCTGCCTCCTAGAACACTTATGAATGAGAAATACACTAAGGTCTTTCCCAGGTCTCCGTTTGTTTGAGGCAACACCCATTCAGTGTTTAAGGGCTAGGTGATAATTGAGACCAAAGATCTGGGAGGGAAAGACCCTCTGGGTTTCTGGACAGTACGGAAAACAATTGCTATTCGCACTCACTCTGAGCCATGAAAAATCCAAACCATGAGCAAGCTAGGTTTGGACTGGGACCTATTGTTGGCCAATCAGTGAAAACCAGTGATTTGGGTTTAAAGGCATAGTCAAGTGGCTCCATTTGAATCACAATGGGCTTTTTCAAAGCCTGCTTTTTCAGAGTTATATTTCAAGAAATCATTAATGAAACTACATGAGACAAAAGAGTTAATTGTCCCAGACTTTAAAAAAAAAAAGATAAAATAAACAGGGAAGAAAAAAAATCTAGCCCCCAAATCCCAAGATATCTTGTAAAGTATAAGCCATCAAAAATTATATTCCTCTGGACAGAGCACCCACATGTAAGGGTATGATTCCCCGCCATGGAAGTTCACTAAGTGACTTCTCTAATCGGGAGGAGAAACAGCTGGATATAGGTATATATGTACATATATACATACATACATACTACTACTGCTGCTGCTGCTGCTGCTATTGCTACTATATGTAAAAATAGTATTTAATTTATTCATGATTTATTAAATACATATTTAAAATGTACCATTATTAAACCCCTAATTTATTGTATGATAATATATTATTTTGAAATTTAAATATTAGTTATTTTAATAGTAAATAGAAATATGTATAAATAACACATATAAACTAGCATTTATAGAACATGAAGTGATTTACAACTATTATGCCATTGAATCCATACAACATCCCCATGGTCAGGTGTTCATTACTATCTATAAGTCCCTCCACATGCACACACACAGGTCTGACCATGCATAAATACTGAGATAGAATAAAGCATCATTGTGCCGTGGGAGCTGCCCATTGCTCTATACACTGGGGGAAGGTTAAAATTACAAATCAGAGATGAGAATCCTGGCCTTAAGGAGCTCCCTGTTGGGACGGCAGGGAGAGACCACGTCCAGGGACACAGAGCAAGAACCAGACCCGTGGACGGCATGGTAGAGTGAGGCAAGTCAGTGAGTATGTACTGAGGGCCAATGTGGCCCACCACATGGAAGCATTGAGCTTGAGAGGCCGTAAAGGTGAAACCATTGGATGCCAAAGGGCAGGACTCCTTCTCCATCAGGGACTTCCTGGCTCTGACTCTTCCAGCGTCCAGGCTGACAACCTAACCTCAGCGGCCAGGCTATGACCTCAGGGGAAGAGGATGAGAAGGAAATAGGATTCTGCTGATCTTGGACCTGACTGCCTCACCTTCACCATTTGAGAAGGGGAAAGGTACTTGAGAAGAGTGCCTGCATGTGAGTGAATAACCGGGCTTTACAGATGTCATCCTGGACAGACTCGATTGGAAGATGGAGTAGGCCAGTCGTAAGGTATGAGCGAGAGGGAACTCCCTAGAGCATTGAGACTGAAAGGGTGGCCACCAGTGGGGTGGGTGATCCACTATGGCGGATTCATGAAAGGGCCTGGATTGTAATCACAGAAGATGAGGAGATATGATTTGTGTCACTAGGGGAAGGGTCCATGTCTCAAGGAAGTGCGGCATCATGGAAAGAGCACTAGGCGTGGTAGCAGAAAGACCTCAAAGATTTACAAATGATGTGAGCTGGGGTAAGTTACTTGGCCTTTCTCAACCTCAACCACACAAGTTTTCTCAATGGAAAAATAGGAATGATAACAGCACCTGCCTCACGGATTTGTTGAAGGATAATAGCTAGCATTTATATAATCTACATGTTACTTCACAACATCTTTTCAATAACCTTGGGAGGCAGATGTCATTATCCCCACTTTACAGAATAAGAAACTGAGGCTGGGAGAGGTTAACTGACTTGCCCAGCTGGTAAGTTTATGAGGTTCTTCTTGCCTCAAATGCTAACACTCCATACACCACCATGCCACTCAGCTGCCTAGAAAAAAAACTGAAAGTACTGTCTATACACATGTCAGTCATTGCTGTCATTGAAGAAATCATGACTCTACCAAAGTATTTCAAGTGTGCCAACTTCTTGACTGACATTTATGTCATTTGATCTTCATGCCATGTCTTGAAGAAAAGGAGTTCAAGCATTCATACCCCCACTTTCCAGCTCACAGAGACCCCTCTCAGCTCTCAAGTCCATGCTCCCATGACTACGGAGGGAGCTTAGCACTGTGCCTGGCACACAGTTGGTGCTTAACAAATGCATACAGTAAGAGCTTAATAAGTGCTAGTTTCCTTCCTTCTCCCCTTTCTCCCTCCCCATGAACATCTGCCTTTGCATGGCCATGGCAATAAGGGCAAAGTTTAACAATGTCCTGGTGCCACGTGGAAGGCATGCCCCAGAGTCGTTTCCAGTAGTCTGCTGGAATCCACAGAGCCCCTAAAGTTCCTGTAACAGTCATCCCTATGCTTTGTAGTTGTCCAGGGCAGAGTCAGGAACCTGGATAAAGCCCACATTTGAGTCCCACAGTCTAGCTAGTAACTCTAGTCCAAAAAGAACTGCCTCATCTCCAAAGAGAGAAGAATATAAATTACCTACCATGGGAGAGGTAGTAAGATGCATTGGGCAGAATTCTGCTGTAGAGCAACATGGGAAGGGTCAATGAAATACATCTATCAATCAATCAACAAGCATTCCTTGAGCACCTTCTCTGCACCGGGTGCTGTGTTAGGCACTTACAGAAACAGAGACAAAGAATGAGAATCCCTTACTCTCAGGGAGCTTACTGGACTCAGCCCCTCCCTGCCAGATGTGCTCTCCCCACCACAGCCACATCTTCCAGAGTTGGGGAAGGATAAAAAGCGAGGCAGGCCATGGCAGTGATTTCCCTATGTATCCTGGAGGCTGAGAAGCAGAGATGGCCAGGATCCACGGCCCATTCACTGCACCCAAATTCAAAATGGCAGGCTTGATGGGCCAGCCCGGATGAGGGCGCCCCCCAATGGGAATATGTGCCAGGTGAGTTCTCACGTTGGGAGAGAGTGTTTTCCACGTACAGGAAAGCATGCTCTCAGCTTCAAAGGAATCTGAGCAGGGGCCCATCAATCATGTCCTCTCTATCTTTGGCGTCTCATTCAACTCCTGAAATCACTAACCAAACCTGGAGTTTTTAAATCAAGACACAACTGGGGCCCTGAACCGCATCCAGCTTTTGACTGATGCTAGCCTGGTTTGCAGTAAGCAAGGATGACATCATTTCTGCAGTCAAACTTGAACTTCCAGATGGTGTGAAACCACAGGCAGACAAACGGGCCTTCTGGTTTGAGGGAGCTGAGAAGCCAAGGGATGAGAAGATGGGCAGAGCCATTGTGGGAGTGAGCACCGTGGAGTTGATCCACCCAGGACAAGTTCTACCACCAATTACTTTAGATCAGCTCCGAACTAATAAAAATCTCTGCCACTAACCTTCTCCATTTTCTAGAGTGTGTGTTAAAAAATAATCAGAAAGAAGAAAAAAAATCTGGGTTATATTTCAGCATCAGGTAGATGTATAAAAGTTTAAAAATATGTATTTTGGTCTCTGAGCTCTTTTCTCTTTGACTTTTCACTCAACACCACATCATTTTAAGCATCCTTGACTCTTGCTCAAACTTTGGCAGCCCATTGACTAATAAAACTTGGCAAACTCAAGAGTACCATCATTCCTTGGAATAACAAAAGGAAAAGTCAGACCTCTCCCTATCACACAAAGACACGTAACCAGGTTTTCCATTCTCCTATCTCATTTTTCTCTTCTCATGCAGGTCTTTTGTAAGAGACCTGAACATGTAGTACTCTACCTGGCAGCGGAGAACACGTTGCTAGCGTGATGCTTTGAAAAGAGAGGGAGAAGTCCATGAAATTGGCCCAAATTGCCAAAGTCGGAGGGATGCGCCATTAATCTTCATGTCAGCACCCAGGACTTCGGTCCAATTCCAATGGTGAGCACTATTTTCTAAGGTTCTTTGCTAACATAGTGTGACCTTTTGCAGGATGTCTTGGGGGATGTAGGGGGAGTTGAAAATTAGTTTCTGGGGCTGGGATGGACTCCTTAGCAACTCAAACACAAGATGATGCTCTAAAAAAAATGAAAAAAGTATAGATGTCTGGTCTCAGAGCAGAGAAGAATTCCATTTAGAAGAAGTGTTGTATAGTAGGTAGTGTTGGTATTAGGGTCAGAAAGAGCTTGAACAATTACTACATGGCCCTGGGAAGGTCACTTCATATCCCTGGGACTGCCTCAGTTTCCTCCTCTGTAAAATGAGAGCATTGGACTTGACCTCAAAGGTCCTCTCACCTCGAGGTCCATGACCCCAGGAT